CTGCCAAAGAAATTAGTCCATTGCTTTTCTTTTTTTAAAATTATTTAAAATTTTTTATTTATTATTTTTATTTTATGTGTATGCATGTATTGCCTGCATTGTAGGTAAGTGCACTGGTGTCGCGCAATGCCTGAGGAGGACAGAAGAAAATGTGGGTGCTGGGATTCAAACCTAGGTCTTCTGCAAGAACAACCAGTGTTCTTAACCACTGAGCAATCTCTCTAGCCCCTCCAATGCTTTTCAAATTACCCTCAGGCAATTTTATTTCTGTGTGCAGACTCCAGCTAGATTATTTGACAAAATATCCCAATTGCTGCTTAAGTCCTTATTTCCCTCTGTAACTACACTGTTCTCAGCACTACTTTCTTCCAGGCCCCTTCTAGAATGGCCTGTTAAGATCAGCTTACAGCATTCAATCACTTTTTAGCCCAAACTTCCAAAGTCTTCCACATTCCTCCAAAAACTCACATGGTCAGGTTCTTCACAGCCAACACCCCAGTACTGGTACCAATTACTATAATAGTTATTTTTCTCTTTCTCTGACAGAAACACCATGGCCAAGTGAACTTATAAAGGAGGGAGTTTTTAACTTATGGCTCCAAGGGGCAAGAGTTCATCATCTGAGTATTCAAATAAAAAGAGGGATTTTCCTTATTTGTGTGATTTATCTGTACTTTATTCAAATTCATTTTTCTCTTCTGGATAATGTAAGTTCAGAAGTTATAAAGCAGTCAGATATGTGTAGGTTTGCCAAAACAAGTACCATTTTACCTGTGGCTAAATAGATGTGCATTGATGCTTATTATTTTGGTGATCAGCAATGTTTACTGAATGTTTCATTTTCTTACTACATTTTTTAATTCTTTAATATGGAGAAAGCTTAAAGGGAAGTTTTGAAAATTTGAAAAGTAAGAAACAAAATGTGGTAATATAAAATAAAAGTTAATTATGTTTGTTCCCAAAATAGTCATCCTTAGTTTAAAGAATTTTCCAGAAAATTCTGCCTAAAGAGAGTACTTTACTAAATGACTAATAAAGAAATCATAGGGCTTACATCTCTTGGCATCACTAGGTTTTTTGTTTCCATCCCTAACCCTATCCCAGAGCCATCAACACCTGTGCCTCCCGTGCCCTCGTTCTCTCTGGTTATCTACTCGTACAGCCCTTTCTCTGCTTTCCATGCACTTCTGTGTCCTCATTCGCCAGCTAGTACCAATCCTCATTTCATCTAGACTTACTAGACTTCCTACATGTTAATGTTTTCCTGTGTACAATCTCATTAACTCTCAGGTCAGTGTTATATGTAGGGTTCATTCAGAGATCAAACCAAGCACTAATCTGCACTTTTAACTTCCTTCTGATTATAGCAGCTACAAATGGTTTCAGTATTGGGAAGGACATCTGGTATTCATCCTCATTATGTATTTAGATGAAATTGTTTTTCTACTGTCTTTTTCCTTGTAGTTTTCCTTTAGTACGCTGGTGTTCAGTGAATCCATAAGTTCTTCTATGAGGAAGAAGCTGCAGGAAGTAATATTTTCGTATCAACACATCACCATATTGAGAATTGCCACTACTACTGCTGATAAGGAAGGGTAGTAATTTGGCGTGAAGTTAATTCATAGATTAAAAATACGTATTTTCATATCATCCAGTTCTTGGTTTCTGGAATACGTGTGTGTGTGTGTGTGTGTGTGTACACATATTAGGGACTTGCTCCTGCAATCACAGTCTTGGCACAGTAACAGTCATGGTCTGCTGGGGTTTACTCTTGAGTTTTCCCAGTCTAAACACATTTTTAATGGATACGTTCAATGAATTTTTGGGTATTTTATGCAACAAAACTTTATCATATTTAATCCCTTTCCTTATCTGTAAACCTCATAGGCTGTCCACAGAATTTCATGCATTCTGTAATATAAGTTAGGGCCTATCAAGTCAAGTGTGTGTGTCCCCAGATGTCCCTTGGTGTGAGTTCATCCAGTGGAGCCTATTTAGTGGCACTCACTTAAGGAAGATTGACTCTCCCTCACCCAGCAGTGAGCAGTGGCCAACAGCTCTTCGATGAAGGTTAGGACCTCCTGCCCATTTCCCCAACTCTATGCTGCTTTTTGCTT